CCATCTGATTATTTAATCATCTGTAAAATGGTGAATATCAAAGACATATGAGGCACTGATAGAACTTTACAAAAAAAAATCCAACCCCAAAGGGAAAAAAATGGGGAGAAGAGATGAACAAAAATGTCCTCAAAAAAGAAACACAAAAGTCCAAAAGGAATATGAGGTAATATTAGTGATGCTTTGCATCAGGTAGATGCAAATCAAAACAACAATGAGATATCATCTCACACCACAGAGACTGGCTGGCACACATCAATCAGAAGAACAACCAGTGTTCATTTGGATATGGGGAGAAAGGGACTCTCATTCACTGCTGGTAGAATATCACTGGTCCAGGCTTTCTAGAAAACAATATGGACATTTCTAAAAAATCTAGGAATTGAGTTTCCATTTGACTCAGCATCTCTACTTCTTGGAATATACTGCAAGGGTCAAAAAACAAAATGGAGAAAAGACACTGGCTCCCCTGTTAGTTGAAGCGCTATCCATAATTGTCCAAATCTGGAAAAAACCTTAATGTTCAAGAATGACTGGATAAAGAAAGTATGGTATAGAAACACAGTGGAATATTAATCTGTCATAAGAAAAGATAAAGTGACAGAATTTGCTGCTACATGGAGGGACCTGGAGAAGTACATGCTGAGTGAAGTTAGTCAAAGGGAGAGAGATTAACACAGAATAACTGTCTCATATGTGGGATGTAAGGAAACACAATGGTGGAATAACTACTACCCAAAGACAATGGAAGCAAACAAAATGAGAACTAGTGAGAACTGGTATTCAGTAGGAAACTGGAGTTATCTTTTTGAGGAGACTGGAGAATAGTACAGGGAAGGGGTAATATCTATGGTAGAGTAAAGTATTCAACCAGGAGGAAGAGGTGGTAATTAAAGGTGGCAAATTATTATTCATGAAGCCATATCAGCAACAGTACTGTAAGTCACAGTGCAAAAAATATATTTAAAAAATGACTTCTCTCATAGAAGCCGACTGGTTGGTGCTAGGCATATGGAGTTTGGGATGTAACTTGTGGACTGAAATAGATACTGGCGAGGGGACTGATGTTTAAACATTGTACGCTTGAAACCCAATCACAAATAACTTTATGATTTCACAGTAACTAAATAAAACAAGTGAAAAAAAAAGAATGATTTTACTCTGGGAAAGTATTTATTAGATTTTAGATACAACACAGAAGAATCTTAGATTAATGTAGACTTCATTTGCATTAATGATGATGATAACCTTTCATCATCTTTAAGAATATAGATAGATAGATGTATATAATTTTTCTCTTTTCAGGACAGGATATTAAAAAATGTATACATTGGTTTGTTATGCTGATTTCATGTTCTTAATATAGCATTCTCATTGCCATCTGCTAAACAATGGGGAAAATAATTATGTATGTATATGTGTATAGATATATATGTGTGGGTGTATATATACAAACCAATTTTTTTTCTAAACTCAGAAACCTAGAGCTGGCAGTTTAACAGACTTAATGTCCAATTAAATCTATGTATGTCTTTAGTATGCATTAGGGTTATTATTAAGTCAATTAAAGGCAGTATTTAACAAAAAAGAGGGTAGTCTACTTGACACTGATCTGTGAAGTTCAAGATCAACATCTACTAGACTTTTTACAAATAAAATACAAATAGATAAGCAAATACAAAGCACATACAAAAATTCTTTAAGTAGGATTTCTGAAACACCATTTAGGAAGTCACAATCACTAATTGTTTTGTTTTGTTTCGTTTTGGGGTTATAGTGACAGTGTTCAGGTATTACTCCTGGCTTTGTGCTAAGAGATCACTCGTGGCGGTGCTAAAGGGTCCATAGGTGGCTAAAGAATGCTAATGAATGAACCAAGATCGGCCACATACAAGGAAAGTCCCCTAACAGCTATACTATGTCTGGTCTGCTTTCACTAAATTGAGTGAGTGGATCCCAATGATAAAGCATTTTGGGAAGAAAGCTAAAAACTTATTAAAAATTACTTTTTTATAATAAGGTGAGTATTTGCAATTCCTTAGAGATAAAGATTAATAAATCTCTTCACTCACTTTTTTAAAGACTTTAGGAGGGATATATAAATGATTATTAATAATTTCAACTATTTACTTTGTTTTTTGGAGGGCACACCCAGAGATGCTCAGGGATTACTCCTGGCTCTGTGCTGAATGATCACTCATGGAGGGCCTGGGAAATCATATATGGTGCCTGGAACTGAACCCAGTTCAGCTCATCACAAAGCAAACACCCTATCCACTGTACTATTGATCTGTCATGTCATCTTTTTAAGAAATCACTTTTTCTTCTAACGTTTTAAGTGAAAATATAGTTTTGAGATATATATATATATGTAACTTTTCAAAGGAACTAGCACTCCATCACTAGAAAAGTAAAGCAAGCAAAGCTTGATAAAATAAAGACATCAACCTTAGTAAAATAAAGATGGTGACTTAAATTCAAACTTAAGGCAATTATATTGCTTTTGTTCACCCCTACACACCTAAGTGTACATCTACAGAAAGAACAGACATTTTTAGGTAATCTTCATGTCATTACCATGCCTAAAATTTATCCATAATTTACTGTTTTTCCATTACCCGTTCATATTACAAGTTGTATAACTGTTTTGAAATTTACTTTTTTGACAATTAACTTTTTTACCATTACAATAGCTCCATGTGTTACATTTAGTTGATGTTTCTCTTAGTTCTCTTTGACCCTAAAGTAATCATCTTTATGCCTTCCTTTACTTTCCTTTATACTGATTACCTGTCGAATAAACTAGGTCAGCTGTCCTGCAGAATATTTGACATTCTAAATCTGTCTTCTTAATTCTTTGTCGTACTCTTAGAAAGGTGTTTAAATATTAATTCTTCTGCTATCTTTGCAAGTTCTTTTTGATCCGTAGTTTTCTAGAACTTTTGATTCTGAGAACTTTCTAATCAAATGATTTCTTTTTAGAAAGCAGTGGAAGCCCTGGGGTAAAGAGTCTGGAGAAATATTTCCCAAACACACTTGAGGAACAATGTCCTATCTCACCTGAACTGATATGACTTGTCTTCCTGAGAATCCTTTGTCTCATTTATTCAATTCTTGTCTTTCTTTCAGACTATTCCTTCTTTCTCATAACATCCAAGATGATCTTTTAAAATAGAACCCATAGTATTCTCTACTTAAAACTTCCCTGATAACTCTACTTATAAATCCAAAGGTCTAATCATGACCTACCTGATGCCACCTGATCTGATCTCTGAACACATCTCCAACTCAAACATCTTCAATTTTTTGGGTATTTTTTTTGGCCATAACTAGAGTTACTCAGGGGTTACCTCAAGCTCTGTATTCAGGGATCACTCCTGATGAGCTGTGGGGAGCATATTGAGTGTCAGGGATCAAACTCAGACCAACATGTATAAGAAAAATTCTCACCCACTGTACTATTTCTCCAGCCCCTCCATCATCTTAATCTTTGCTTTTTATACCTATTTTGACTCCATAAGTACATGAAATATTTCAATTTTTTTCAGATACATATTGATTGTATTCAGAGTGCCTTTTTCTCAGACACATGAATGAGCATTTATCATAATTCAGATATCAGGTTAAAGACAACCTTGAGGAAAAGGAGAGAGGAGGGAATTGGAGAGGAGAGGAAAAGAGGGGAAAGAAAGAAAAAGAAAGAAAGAAAGAAAGAAAGAAAGAAAGAAAGAAAGAAAGAAAGAAAGAAAAAGAGGGAGGGAAGGAGGGAGGGAGGGAGGAAGGAAGGAAGGAAGGAAGGAAGGAAGGAAGGAAGGAAGGAAGGAAGGAAGGAAGGAAGGAAGGAGAGAAAGAAAGGAAGGAAGAAGAGAAAGAAAGGAAGGAGAGAAAGAAAGAAAGAAAGAAGAAAGAAAGAAAGAAAGAAAGAAAGAAAGAAAGAAAGAAAGAAAGAAAGAAAGTAGGGAAGGGAGGGAGGAAGGGAAAGCTAATCCTTGGCACTACATCTAAACTATCAAAAACAAACCAGTAGTCCTCTATCCACATGTGAATATTTTAACCTATTAATTTCCATAATACTTGCCAATTTGTAGCTCTCCGCTTTTTTTTGAAAAAGCCATATCTCACAAATCTGTTTTTTTTAAATATAGATGTCATTATTTGATACTTTCTATATATATTTTTTGCTTATTCCTTACACACTCTATTTGAATGTAAACATTATTCTATAAAGAAATTTCTCTGTATAAACTACTCTGTATAGAACTGTACTTGATAAATAGAAGTTGATCAATGAATCTTGCTAAGTATATAAGTTCTATAAATCAGGTTGCATTTGTACTGTATAGGTTGCTGACCTACAATTGCCAGGTAATTTTTACATTTCGTTTAAAATCTCTATGAACTATATGAGATGCAAGATAACCTCAAATTACATATTTCTCAAAAATTAGAATTCAACATTTTCCATATTTTATGGCACATTGTATTTTTGAAAAGTATGTATTTATGAAAAATATATTTTCAACTTTTAACTACTCATTTCTCATACATGCATATAATGCAACAACACATGTCTTATTTTGCCATTGCTCCAAAGCTACTATGCTCTCATTATTTTATAAAAAGAGAAAGCTGTATGCATTGCTCTATATTCACTTAATTGATTTTTACATGCAGGCACCACTAAAGCACAGTTCAAAATTTGCAGCACAATCATTAAGCAATTTATATATCAAGATAGAGGTCATAATTTATTCAAAATTATCCTTGGTAATTATTATTGAACACTTTAATTTTCAATACTTAAGGCAATCGTGCTCTCTGTGAATCCAACAAAGGAAAAATACACACTAATAGACTAAATTAACATAATGGACTTTATGAATTAAGCTAATGACTTGTTTCTAGGTCTACAACATAAAAGCCAACGAAATAGATTAAAAATTATCACCTTCATCATTGTTGACTGGTAAAATCATCAGCACTACTCCAAAATCCCTTACCTCCATAAGTAACTTGAATCCTTCTCTTTTCTTGATTTCTTCTACTAGGTACCTAAAAATAAATGTCACAAAAATGTTCGTAATTTGCAATAAGAATTTTCATAAATATGAAGAATGTATAATAAAGCAGTTATTTCTGACATATAAACAAAACAAAAATGCGAATCTCTTGAGACCAAATATATACAGGCAAAGAAACAACACATAGACAAATGTAGGGATTTAGACAAAGACTACTGAACTTACTGAAACTTCCTAAAATCTGAGTAAAAAACATATATTTTTATATTTCTTTTTAATGAGAGATTTATATCACTTATCAGCATCAAACTTTAAGTCCAGTAGGAAAGCCGCATGGTAGATTAGATATCCATTCAATCTTTAACAAAGTAGGTTTCACATTTACTTATAAACTGGATGGGAATTTAGCATAAGTACTTCAATGATCAAACAGACTTAGAGGAGAGTTTTAGTATGTAGTTCTGATTGTAAGTTTATTTAAATACAAAACCTTCAAATTATGACCTAGGTAAATTGAAGGAGGATTAAAAATTGGCATTGTTCAGGAAAAAGAGAATTATCACAACATAAGCAAAGACATCTTATTATCTCATTTCTACTTTGGACAAACTGGCAGGCTACCGAATGTAACCTGCCCACATGGCAGAATCTGGCAAACTCCCCGTGGCGTACCCGATATGCCAAATACCAGTAACAATGATGGGTCTCATTCTCCTACACCTGAAAGAGCCTTGAATATGGCACTTTTCTAAAAATCTCAGGGCTAGGACGAAGGAGACGTTATTGGGGCTTGCTCGAAGCAATTGACGAATAAGCAAAGGTAGAAATAGATGGGGTATGGAATATTACTTATAAGAGACAAATAGCATTGAAAATATAGAATAAATTAATATTGATGCCTCCTTTTGGGGCTTTGTCTTGTCTATATGAGAAAGAAGCTTTTTGAACCAACACAAAGAATACATGTTATTCCTAGAATGTTTGAGGTCCTTGATTCTATTTTTACCATGCACACAAAAAGAATCTTTCTGAAATCCTGTTACTGAAAATTATAATTTGATTATGATCCTTAAAGTTTCATAGCAATTTATGTAGGATTTCAAATTTGAAGTTAAAATATCTAAGAGGTGCTAACTAAAACAAAATTTACTTGCCAGGATACTGACTGTGAAATTATATGATCAAGTGAAATACCAAGGATGAAAGAATGGTTCAATAGAAACAAATTAAAGGAAATAATAGATTACATTAATAAAAGACAAAACTCATATGATGTAATCAACAGATGTAGAAAAATTTTTGATAGGATTCAACACCCTTTTATGGTAAAAACTATAAATAAATTACAGAAAGAAACTTCAATATAATAAAGGTTATATTCAACAAAACTACAACTAATATACCTGGTAAAAAATAGAAAAATTTTTTCTATGGTCATGCACAAGACAAGTATATTCACTCTTACCACCACCATTATTCAACATAGTACTGCAAGTTCTAGCCCTAAGCAATTAGATGAGAAAACGAAATTAAAGGGATTCAAATTGGAGAAGTCAAATTACGACTACATGTGGTTGATAATATTCTAAAAAGAAAACCCTAACAACCTCAGAGGGAAAAAATGGAATGCATAAACCTATACAGTAAAAATGGCAGACTAAAAAATACACAAAAATCTGATTGAACTCTATATGAAAAATATGATGTAGAAGGGAAATGATTTTTTTAAAATCTCATTTGCAATTGTGTCTAAAGTCACCTATCAACAAAGGAGGTAAAGATACAGATTGGAAACTCTAAGTGAGAATTAGAATAATAGAAGACATAAGGAAATGAAGAAGTATTTATGTTCATAGACTAGAATAATTTACACTGTTAAAATGACGATCCTACCCAAAGCATTATGCAGATTCCAATGGCATTCTCAAATAAATACTAATAAATTTGTATAAAGTCACAAATCTCCTCAAACAGTCAAAGTAATTCTGGGAAGAAAAATAAAAAGGTAGGAATTTTGCATTCCTTTACTTTGAACTATACTACACAGCTATAGTAATCACAGTTTGGCACCGGAATAAAATACCAATGTAATATAATTGACAGAGAGGTAAGCCCTCAGATCTATGGAGCTAATTTATGACAAAGGAACCAAGAGCATAAAGTTGAAGATGAAGAGCCTCTTCACCAAGTGGTGTTGAGAAAACTGATTTTCTCTAGAAAACTAGAAAACCAGCACATGCAAATAATAAAACTGGATCATATCTAATACCATATACAACAGTTAACTGAAAATTGACTAAAGAACCTCAAGTGAGGCTGGAATCTGTGAAATGTGTCAAGATAAATATAGGCTGAACTCTCCATGATAGTGGTTTCAAAGGTGAATTCAATGATTCAACTCCAACAACAAAGGAAGCAAAAGCAAAACTAAACAAAGAGGCTTACTTCAATCTAAATCTAAACAAAGAGTCTTACTTCTGCACTGTGCAAGAAACTATGGTTAAAACACACATTGTAACTAAATGGGAGAAAATATTTGTACATTATCCATCTGAGAAATGGCAAATATTGAACAAATAAAAATCATTCACAAAACTCAACAACATCAAAAAACAACCCCCATTAAAAATAGAGAGAAGAGGGGTCAGAGAGAGTACCACAGGAAGGGTGCTTGCCTTGTCACCAAGGTTTGATCCTCAGTACTCCACAGAGTCCCCTAGCACTGCCAGGAGTGCAATGTAAATCCAGGGACAGGTCCTTAGCACAGCTGGGTATAGGCCAAAAACAAAGAGATACAAAGACAGAGAGTGTAGGGGAAAGGGGAGAAAGGGAGAGAGGAGAGGAGGGAGGGGGAAGGGGAGGAAGTGAGAGAGGGGGAAGGGGAGGAAGAGAGAGAGAAAGAGAGAGAGAGAGAGATCCAGGAGGGAGAGAAGGGGAAGAGAGAACTGAACAAAAAGTTCTCCAAAGAGTACATAGGCATGAGTGACAAGCATATGAAAAAGTAAATGCAACTCAAAACAATAAAATATCACCACAATACTGAGAACAGTTCATATAAAAAAGACTAGAAGCAATCAGCTTCTGGTTGTGAAGATGTGGTTAAAAAAGAAAAAGGGAGAAATTCTCATTGTTTACTGTTAGTATTGTAAATTGGTTCAACCTCTGTAGAAAACAGTCTGATGACTTTAAATACTTGAAAACAGAACTACCATATCATCCAGTAATTCTAGTGCTTTGCATCTACTCGATGAATTTGTCAACACAAATTTTAGAAGATATGTATACTGATACTCACTGCAGTGTTATTCACAACAGCTAAGTTCTGTAAACAACCAAGGTTCCCAACAACAGAAAAGTGGATAAAGAAGACGTAGTATAAAAACACAATGGAATTCTATTCTGCTATAAGAAAAGATGAAAGATTGCATTTTGCTACCTCATGGTCAGAGTGTTTTTTAAGAGCAGTAAGTCAAAAGGAGGAAGACAAAACACTGGATGATTTTACTCTTAAGTGGATAATAAAGAAACAAAGCAGCGGAATGGACAATGTCAACTAAAAACAAACCTTAGCCTCTTATAACAGAGCTGAGTTTACCAAGCAGAAAAGGAGAATGAAGAAGTAGGGAGGAAAGGGCATAGTAAACATGACCTTGGAATTGGGTTGAGGGATGCCAGCACTTTGATTGGTGGTGGATGGGGTGTTGCAGCATCACATGCCACACATAAATATTAGCACTAAGAATTACAAAACATGTTACCCGAATTAAAATAAATATATATGTATATATATATGGGCATTAAAGTGTCACCTATGGGATATGATCATGATCTGAAATTACACATATACTTAATATTTAAGAAAATCAACAAAAATTACTACTCTTGAATTTTATCTCCTTTGTTTATAAAAGTGGAATAATACCATTTTCTTTTTCAATATTAAAATATTGTTATAGAACATTAAATAAAATCATGCCCTTGATATGTTTACATTGTTTGTGTGTTTGTATTTGAGGAGTGAGAGTGAGAGAGAGTAAGAGAGAGAGAGAGAGAGAGACACCACTGAAATATTTAATGCTTACACTATCCTTTCACTGAATGTTTTTGCATTTTGTTTTGTTTTTCCAGGATGTGTTATGTAGCTGTTAATTTGGGGCCCTTTATCACACTGCCCACTTTCAGACAAAAGCAGTTCTAATGGTCAACAGAAATGATGCTTAAGATTACTGGTACACAAATAAGAATAAATTAAAGCAATGCTATTAAACCATGCTGCTCACGTGGTATTAACATAATTTAAAAAATGTTAAGGCAATATTTAGCTAGTGAGAATGTGAAAGAAAGCTACTACCAACCATTTGAAGTGAAAATACACAGAGGCGACTCAAATGGTTAGTGTTGTATGCTTTGAATCCTGGGGTCTCAAGTTAGATCCCTTGCACCACCTCGTCCTCTGAGACAGTGCCAAGAGCAGTGCCTTAAAATGGCTGGGTGTACATCCCTCAGAGTAATAACATTCATATCTAATGATGCAGCAAATTACATTTAAGATGCTAGTCTACCAGGAAAAAGGTATCAATGCTATCATAAGATGGATGGAAGGAACTATCATTGTAGGTAGGGCAATAGATAGGTATATGGATACAGATATATAATCTGTGTTATTCTATACACACAAGTTATTGTTTCTAATCTATGTGTGCATATCTGTATATTCCATACAAAATAACTGGAAGCAAAATTAATACCCAGAAATTGAAAAAACGAACTGCAGTGAAATGTGTTTTAACGACACAGTGCAATGTGGTACATCTATTACAAAGACTAAATTATATGTACTCTTATTAAACCCATAGGGAAGCTTGTGAAGAACGCTGCAGGACACTCTGGCAAGAAAGAGGCATTGAGGCTTTCTGAGGAAGCAACTTTATTAAACACGTCAACAAGGGCTGGAAGGAGTCATATCTAAAGTCTGAGCCAGAGAACAAAAGGAGACCAGCTTAAATAATCACCCTCAGCAAGCAAGCATGG